TACATACCAGGACTCCTTGCCCTCTCTGATCCTACAGCCAGGTGCCATCTGTGGCTCTGGAGCGTTACTCTTATCTCGCATGGCATTTCAAGGGCACAGGTTCATGCAAAAATACTTCAAGTAGGAAACCTCAAAAAAGGGGCATAACTTTGGTGCACAGTAATCCGGTCTGAAAGAAACATCCAACCTCTTGTGCGTTTCTGGCACACACGGCAGTCCTTGCGTTCCAGCGATGTTTTTGCCAAAATGAAACTTTTTGTCTTAAGCAGGGACACTGTTTTCCAACATACCCTTGATTCTGAAACCACTGGAAGAGGCTCTTTACAGAGCTGCTCCAGTTTGGGCTTCTCCAATGGTTCAGCATTGTTCTCCATACAGCATCCAAGCAGAGAGACTTTAAATGCAGATCCTGGAAAAGTCTGTGCTGCTTTGACTTCCACAATGGTAAAACTGGGGATACCAGTTATTTAACTTCTAAAAAGGACTGTGAAAAAGTGTTTTGAAAGTGTTGGAAGCTGTTCCACTGACAAAAAAACCTGTTACCAGAAATGTTCTCCTTCATAAAATGGTGTTTGCTGATTTACACAAAACTGTTGACCTCTTCTGTATCAAAACGAACACTTTATATCGGTTTTTCTTATTTGTGTTTGGGAGGAGTTTCAGGCTCCTGCTTTACGCTCAAGCTGCAAACACAGCACTGCTCCAGTGCTTCATTACTTTTGTTTCCAATTATCCTGACACTGAGACAGGAAGATAAAAATTCAAATCCATTCAGCAGCTAGAGCAACATTTTAAATGCAAGCCATCTCCTTCACCATGGGCATAGACACACAGAGTAATTATCTCAACATTTCACATAATAATGACAAAGAGGAGTTTTTATTCCATGCCAACTTTAAGACAAGGTAACTACTTTAAAATTAAAGGTGTCTGCAAATACAAGGATGTTTCCCCTTTGCATCCTTCTATTTGAATGTTAAATTTTTCTGCTACTGTCCCAAACCTGGAAAACGCTCCCATACAGATAAACAAATGCTCAACTTTTACTCAGTGGAAACAGGACCCAGCGCAAGGCACTCAGTCCTGATCCACGCATGCGCTTTCTTGCTCTCTCAAACCAAGGTCTTGTGCAGGTATTTCACAAACCTAAGTGCAGGAGGGGCTGATTCAAAATCAGTGGAAGGTGCTATCCAATTCTGGGCGGTGACCCAATCCTGAAAAAGCCCCATTTCAAAAAAAAGAAAAAAAAGACGCAACTGTCCCACAGAAATCAATGGGAATAAGGCACTTAGCTTTTGGAGATTAAATACCCTCTTGTGACCCATTCTAATTCCTCCACTTCTCACACAAGGATCTCTCAGCTTGGCTTCTTCCAAAAGACAGACATGTTTTAAAGTATGTTTTGCATGCACAGGGATTGATGACAACTTCTCATACATCTTTTCCTCTCATCGCTCTTGCAGAAAAAAAGAGAGGATAAAACCTTTGGAAGTACAGAGTACAAAACCCCTCTCCTACCTAGAAATTACTATATAAAATTATATAAGAGAGCCCTCTGAAAACATCCTTTTGCCATTTGTCACTAGTTTATCTTCTTTTTCTCCCTGTTTTTTCCTGTTTCAGCTGGAAGGGCAGCAGCTGTACTTAGTTGGAAGCAAAACCATTTTACTTAGAACCACTTCAAATTGCAAGGAGGTTGACTGATGGTGTTTTGCCATTCGGAAAATGTCAGCCCATTACTATATGCAACATACTGCAACACAGTATGACTTCATGTACAAATGTCAGAAGCTTCCTGAGAACTTTGCACCATTCAAAAACACAAAGAAAGTGTAAATCAGTGGTCTCCTAGCTCATCTCTTCTCCCTTTCAATATAACTGGTCTAAGCAGGCAGTTAACTTAGCAGAACAAAATTAATGAAATAGTCTGACTGAAATACTAACCGAGGTAATACATGAACCGGTAAAACGTCTATAAAGCTGAAGTTACAAGTGTGGGCAATAGCCTGCATGTGTTGTAAGACCACCTCAGATTTGTGCTTGGGAATTTAATAACCATTTTTGTTAAAGATACACGTTTCTGATGTTTCGAAAATTTGGCTGCAAAATTACTTTTTTTTATTTTGACCTGTTGCTCTTCCATATGCACTGTTACCTTCCTGTAAAATTTCTGGATTAACAATACATAAGTCTTCACATAGATCTTAAAAAAATTAGTTATGGGCTTGCTGCAGGAGTTATTAGGTGAAGTTTTACAGTCTGCATTATATAGCAAGTAAGATTAGATGTTCCTAATGTTCCCTTCTGGACCTAAAACCTATGAACATGTATTCTTAGAAAGAAAACAAGTCTCTGAGCATGGTTACCACTTCAACCACAGAAAAGGAAGGCGTAAAATATGATTTGTTTATTTAAAACATGCACTAGAATTGTCTTTAGCAAGTAGCAACCACTAACCCTGCAGAAACATGTCACCAGGCTTCATACAAAGCAGTCAGGCATTGTACAGAAAGCTCAGCCCAACAATCAGTGGAGAAATGCGTAAGAATGTGTCTTTTGTATGAGACAGCACTTGCAGCATGGGCAGTCAGTACTTTGGGGGAATGGACCACCCTCTCTAATACGCAGGATCCACCAGTCACAGCCTGCTGGCTGACTCAACACTCACACAGATGACAATAATGAGGCAAAAAACCTCAAATCCTCTGAGGACTGTGAAAAGCACCAGAAGAAAAACATAATGGGAGTGTAAATCATTGACTAACAGCCTGGGAATATTATTTTGTCTGTAGATGGAAAAAAGTAGAAGCAGTCATCTCTTCCAAGAACATGCATAACGAAAAAGAAGATGTTTCTAAGAAGCCTATTAAATGGGTATGGTCCTGCTCACATGTCCAAGTTTCTCACAAAAATTTGGTGCCTCTTTCACCCACTAGCTCCCTGCTATGGAAAAACACTTCTTCAGAGTCTGGAAAATGCTGTTTGATCTCAGTAAATTACATCTCACTGCTTGTCGGTTTCTGATTGATGGTGTAACTGAGGGAACAATATCTGTGTGTGGAATACTGTCTGGAGAAGCAGTCAGGGATTATTGAAAATACAGTATTTATGCAGTTTAAAAATCAGTGGCACGTTACGCACAACTTTTTTCCAGAGTGATGAAAAATTACTGAAGTGCATTTGGGAACAAAGGGTGTAAGGTCTTTTGTCTATTTGTAAGAACACTCAACTGGTAAGACTTCTTAGTGAGTTAGTAGTGATGGATGCAAGAAAAAGTGTCAACCGCAGTTGAGCATAAAGCCAACTGCTCCTCCGACCAGTGGGCAGAAAGGAAGACGTCACTGTTCAATGGTGGTCAGAGAAGAGGGAAGAAAATAAAATTGAAGAAAAGAGAAGGAAAATGAATCAAGGATCACTGATTTCTCTAAACCATTTAAAACTACTGCAGAAGGAGAAAAAGTCTAAAGTTTCATCACACCACGTGTTGTTTCTTCATCCATCTGATACGTCACAGTTAGTTGGAAGATTTTCAGAAAACAGCCACTCCGAAAGAGCAGCCACCTCCTCAGCATAAATAATTCTGGAGTTACTGAATTCAAGGGCTCAGTGCTGATTTACATCAGCCACAGGTATGACTTTATACACACCTCACCTTCCAAAACTTCATTTGAGTCCTTAAGGTCTTGTCATGACACAACCACTGTATTTTTCACCACAACAGAAATGCAACAGACACCAGGACATCGGCCACAGAAAGGCCATGACTGAAAACAATTATGGAACTTACGCAACATACATCCTTCCACCAGATATAAAGAGGAGAAGATTAATTTCAGTGTGTAAGTGCCTCAGAGAAGTGAATGAGGATGGATGCTGTTGCCAGTGGTGTGAATCTGTGCAAAAAAAAAAAACAACACCACAAAAATTTGGCAGGTGTAAAGTAAACAAAAAGAAGTACTTCCCACAGATCACACAAAACTAAACTGCCAAATTAACTGATTGCCACAGAGAGACAAAAAGTGTGAAAAGCTTACGGAAGGGTTAGCTCAATTCACGGAGTGCAGGTCTGCTGCTGGTAACTGAAATGATGGTTCAGAGGCAATCAACAGCTCAGGACACCTTTGAATACTGTAGGAGTGTGAGGATTTTGGACATACGAAGTAGGATCACCCTACTCTTTCTCGGCTTCTCTTCTTGTTTCTCTAGCATCAGTTACTGTCCCATTCCAGGGACAGGGAAGCAGTTCAATGGAGTTGGTCCACTCCAGCAGGGCCACGTTAACGCCTGTGTGTGCACTCTTACCTGCTACTGGAGCAAGGGAACAAGGAAGCGAGAGAAACATTGTCAAAACCATAGGGTAAATTCACCAACCCTTTCCTGGAAAGTATTGCAGATTATAGTAATCCTTAGGACAGCCAAGAAACACTGGATATGAAAAGAAAAATTTATCTGCAGTAGTTTTAAATGAAGTAACACGGTGTGATGAGTTTGAAAGCAAACAAAGAAGCAAGTCTGCAAAGGGCTTCACAACATGGTTGGGATGCAGGAATAGTTCTCACATGTGGTTCAGGAAGAAAAGGACAGCAAAGGCTCAGTGGGAGGCCTGTGGAAAAAATCACGGACAGCATTTCTGAGAAGAAAAGAGAGGAAAGATAATTCTATGGTTGGGGCAAAGATAATTCTTTGTTCCTGTGAGGGAGCCAGGTGGTGAGCACCAAAGATGGCACCTCAAGTGACTCTTACAACTTAGAGACATACACAGGAGCAGAAAGGTAAGACTAACTGTGCTCCTGAACCACGAGACTTCTGAAGTACAAGCTTGCACCACTGTACAGTAACAGCCCTATGTCACCACCGCACTACAACCCTTCCAGGAAACAGCCACCATCTTCTAAACACCTACTTTCTGATGCCTAGCTTCCTTCCCAGCAGCAACCCACACCTCCTGGGTGCCTGCCCTAAAGCAAGGCAGTCCCAGACGCCCCTGTGGGCGCACTTACCTCTTGCTTTCGACTCCGAGTAGGAAGGGATGTCCTCAGAGGTCAGGATTTGGGGGAGGCACGTGGGAGCACCAACTCCCTGTCCCAGGTAGGAAGCGGGTGGATAGTAGGAGCACATGCGGTACTGGGAGCTGACGGCGTGGCGGCTCTCCACGCCCTTCACCTGTCGGAGAGAGAAGCACAACAGCAGCCTGTGAAAGCTGAGCCCCGGCACCGTGCGGGCAGCCTGCTGCCCCACACGCACTCGGCTTTGAAGGAGGTCATGGGAGGTGGATGGCAAGTAAAATCCTGACAGGCTAGCCTCGGGTTTTTACTTTGGTTGGCTCATACTCAGCTACAAGTGAGCTGGCGTGGTACGGGATGTGACCTAGCAGCAGCAGCAGCACCGGTGTACCTACGGCTTCTTTGTTTTACCTCAGGCGAAGCTGTGTCTGGCACACAAGCATACACCCTTCATTGCAAGGAGCTTCCTGGCGAGTCCCCTGCTTACGGCACAGACAACACCACGGGAAGCTTTCCAGCCCCCTTCAACTGCACACACCCAGCCCGTGTCAGAGGTGAAGTGTCCATCCAGTCCCTCCCTGGAGACTAGCCCGTCTCAGACTGGTGGTAACTGCTCTGACAGGGACCTACAGGGTGGCTAAGGAGGACAGTCCTACTGACCGACTCACTCAGGACACGCTCCATGGCGTTTGAGCAGTGACACATGCACACAAACTCATCGCTTTTCTTACAACCCAGTGAGATGGAAAAATATTTTCCTGGTCTACCCAGAGAAACCAAGTTCTGGGCAGACTACATGGGAAGCCTGTAGTGGAGCCATGGCTGAACACCAGCCAGCAGGTCCACTGTGTCAGCACGGTGTCCACCAGACAACCCCTTCTCCCTCCCGCAGCCTGCCGCTAAGTTGGCAGCACTCAGAAATCAAAGTTTATCCTACTCCAATGCCCTGAAATCATCCAAACTGATGTCCTCAGAGAGGCAGTAATACTTTTCTAAATCTTTGTTTTATGAAAGAACTACCATCTATTATTATTTGTTCCAAAGCCCTGCAATGTAATGTGGCTACAGTGCTCCAAAAAATGCAGCCAAACACTTCACAAGATTAGGATTTTCAACAGGAAAGGTAACACTACCTGGTGTCCCTAAGTCTCCTGGGCAGTGAATGATTGTAAGATGGAAAGCTTCCAGGCAGAGAAAAAATACCACAGTTTTGTACCAGATATAGAGGTAGCAGTGCCAACAGTAACGCATGTCCAGCTATGCCATCAGACATCTTCGCAAGCAGAAGTGCTTGACAACCTTTTCAGCCGTGTCTCACCTCGGTTAGAGCTCCGCCTGCTCCACTGCAGGGCTCCACTCCCTCGGGTCCCAGCCAGCCGCGCGTGGAGCCCTGCTCCTCAGCCCTTCCCAGCCTGCGAATCTCAGACCCGGGGAGCAGTGGAGGCAGGGGGTGAACCTGCTGTCCCAGACAGCTGCCCCACGCCAGCAGACCCCAGGGTCTGGTCCTGGCAGAAGGAGCCACCAGCACCTCCCAGCAAAGCAGCCAGAATTCAGTCACCCCTTGTTTTCCAAGGGTCCCCTTAATAATTCAAGTATTTTAGTATGCCTAGCTGGAAATAATGTGGCCTGAATCACATAAAACCCTGCTGGTGCTCTCCAAGACAGAGGGCAACATCCTGCTTTCCATATGGACCCGGGTTTGCAGCAAGATTGAGTGCCGAGAGAGAGAGGTGGCTGTTTACAGGAAGCAAAGTGCACCTCTGCCCGTCTTCAGACAGCAGCACAGTCGCACATATTTGCACGTGTACTGAGGCAGGACATGCTTTTAGTCTGTGAAAGTAAGAGTTTTTCCATTATAAATTAAAGCAATACTTAAAAGGTGATTTTTCTACTATCTGCACCCTATGCATGCAGAAAAAGTTCAACACGCCCCCAAGTTTCATCCATGATAAATAGTAAATTGCTCGTAAAAAAATTCAGTGTATCATCCCAAGGAAGCCTGAACTCAAAAGAGCCACTGATGTCCCCTCTGCTGTTCTGAAAAAGGGCAGTCTCCTCTTGGAAACAGACATCTGTGCTTTGCACAGACTCCCTCAACAAAACCCAGGCTGCCTCTGCCCTGAAATTATGGATTGGCAATACAAACTGCCCAAACGCTCACTCCAAAGGCCATTTTCAATCCGCACAACCGCAAAGCTCAACAGCTTTAGAAGTACTGGGGGAAAAAAGTTAGCAAACTCCTCTCTGCCTGCTGTTTTGCACACACCGTCTTCCTTCCCTCCGTGGGGCAGGCTGTGGGCAGCATCCGTGGTCCTCATATCTCCACCTCTTCCTTGTGCAAGCGCACATGTGCAAGCATACAACTGAGAAAAGGTCGCCTGCAGGAAACAGCATTATTTCAGCTGTAACAAAATGGAGGCATCATTCCCTGGCACAGAAACAATCACATGCATGTTTCCTCTCCCTGTAGACCGGATGCAGTGACCTGTTCCCTTTCAAACCTTTTTTTAGGGTTTTTCTTCATTTCTTAAAAAAACAACTCACCTAAAATGTCTGGAAGCAATGAATTATTACTACTATTATTATTAGTGTGTGGTAGCTAGCTAGCAAGAGACATGTTTTATAATCTTATTACCCACACCAAGTCTATGAACCACGGTTCGACCGACAGCCAGAGGCTTGGCTCTGCAGAGAATATGCTGTGTATTAACCACTGAAGAAAACCTAGAAGCTTTTGGTTTTGTTTTATTAAACTGTTTAGAATACACACCGCAGTAAATATGAACCATAAGGTTTCCTTTTTATAGTGCTTAGCAATCCTATTTTACAGTAACAATAAAAAAACAACCAGTCGTAAAAATTCTTAACCTTAGCAGTGCATTAAAAAGGGGGCTTAGGAGATCGTTACCCCATGAGGAGGGGCATTTGCTCTGTATTAACTCCTGCAGCTCTGGAGAGTCCTTGCACATTTTTGGGTGCCAGAAAGGGAGATAGAAACAGCCCTGGGGAGGCCCTGGAACATTCAGATTATTTCTAACCCGGGGCAGTCCGGCCTTCCAAACGCTGCAGCCAGGTGCCAGGTTTAGGATCGCTCCCTGGGTCCTGTCCTGTGGGAATCGTGGGGTCATGCAGGGATCACAGGAGGAGATGCCAGGCCCTCTAGTGTCTCCTCCTCCCTCCCTCGCCCCTTCCAGCCCTACCACGAGGCCAAGACAGGCAAGGGCTGGGATGGTCCCACAAGCCACTCTGGTTTGTATCATCACCGCAGGCTACGCGCCGTAAGAACAAGGCATGTTTTAGGTGAGAAGTGCTGTGGAAGGGAAGGGCATACACTTGCTCTTCGTAGAGAGCAAGCTGAGCTCCTGAGTTGAACACCTGAGTTGCTCACTTACAGTGCATTGCCTTCCAGCCACACACTGCTTGTGCCCTGCCCCAGCTGCAGGATCGATTCACTAAGCACCTCACTGACTTCAGTGGGAGACACAGATCATCAGAGAAGCACATTTGTCCTATTCTACATTTACGGGTTCCCCTAAATTGTGTAACACAGCGCACAGTCAGTAACTTTTTAAAGGATGCACTGCAAGCAACAATGGGATGTTTACAACTCATGAACAAATAAATACGTCCTGATTAAAAGACCATGCATGCAGTGGAAATTCTCTCCCTGTTCCCTTGTAAAGCCAGTAAGGGGAATCAAGAGGCAGCTACAGCTCATCCACAAACAGGCAAGCTGGAAACAGGATTTGTCCATCACTGAGCACAACAGTCAGTGCAGCCCTACAGCAGTGCCCAACAGTGACAGAATATGTAGCAAAAGCCAGGGAAGCATAAAGAAAAGGCTCTTGCATCAGTTCAGACCCTTCCTGCGAAAAAGCTTTCTCAACAGCTGGTGGAAGAGCAACATAAAGCCCAGCTCCTACTTCCAAGCTCCTGGCAGCATCTACATATCTTCTTCATCGAGGAAGAGCCAAGGAGAGGAGGTGGCCAAACCAGAGACAGAAAAGAGGCAAGGCAGGCATGTGGTGGCTCACTTCTCCTTCCAGCCTCAGAGGCTAGAAAATGGTCCTGGCCTTCCCAGATGATTCATTCAGACAAAACATCACCCAGGTAATTCTTTTATTTGCAGAAGCTGCCAGCCGCAATCTCTTTGCGAGCAAGCTAGTGTTACTCTTAGCAGCACCTTCACATTTTGCAGTGGATCCTGACTATGGGGCTTATTCTCAAGAAGGACAAGTAGGAGGAGGTCATGGATGCTAATCCTGGGCTGCAAAAAACTCAGAGCAACAGAAGAGATCGGCTCTGCCACTGGAGTGCCACATGATCTCAATCAAATCACTTCGCCCAGGCTTTCCACCCTTTTGTCTCACCCATGACTCACCAACAGCTGCTTAAAACAAAACCAGTAATTATGGAAACACCAGAGAAACTCTGTTAAAGGTTTTAACATAGCCTCCTCCTTCTGCCTTGATCTTAAAAATAAAGCCAGCTTTAGGGGGTGTAAAATTTTGCATTTATGTGTCATTGTTTGCAAACAATAGAATTCACAGGTCGCTTTTTGGCATGAGGCAAGAAGGCATCCCCTGGGCACCAGAGTGGAAATCCGGACATCAGGAATCTCTGCTCTGTCACCTGTGGGCTGTGTGACTGTGGGCAAGTTATTTAACACTTCCCTGCCTCAGTTTCCCCAGCTGCAAACCGGGGTTGCTGCTGCTCTCCCACCCTGCAATGCTGTTGCCCATGAGCTGACCTCTCACAACTACTGCTGCAGTTGCGCTGCCCAAGGTGGCTTTGTTTCGTTCCTAAAACCAGCTAAGCATATTTTTCAGCATGAGGAAAAAATGAGTCTATGATACCCTGCCTTGACTTACTTTGATTCTAGTACAGAAAATACAAGAGACATCTATATCTGTCCCTCCTTGATAGACAAACTTAATTAACCTTTGCTATTCTGTTCCAACCTATTCTTTTAGACAAAGGCAGTGACCCATAAACAATATGTTACCATCAGAATCTCAACTGCGGTGACACCTAGAGATATAGCCCTATCAGCAGTATCGGAAAATAAACCGCTTAGATTAGCTCCTCCAAGAAATATGGATTGCATTCATGTCACACATGAGCTGTCAGAAACATTAGGATACTTTTAGCATAAATCTG